TTTGGGGAAGAGCCAGGTTCTGTCAAGGTGGATGAGGATGCACCAGATGTGTTTAGCAACCGGCCTTTCCCCTGGATGTCACTGGGAACAGCATTCACTGTATTTTTTCACACTTTTTTTTTTTAAATGTATTTAGTACAGAGTCTACAGGGTCTCACTACTCAGATCGGACTCCTAGTGATCCATCCTGTTTTTCAGCTTCCCAAGTGCTGGGATTATGGACATGCCCCACCATACTCAGTGTCAATTGCCATCTCAGTGCGCCTGGGGACGGGGCTGGGGCTGGGGCTGGACCTGGCACTGCTGGCCAGGAGGTCGAACCCCAGTCCCTGAACCCCAGCCCCTGTGTCTGCCTAAGCAGGCAGTTTAATCTGCTGAGCTGTCTAGCTGACCCTTATCACACCTCTTAAAGTCACTCAGGAACAAGGACACCAGAACTGCTTCAAAAGTGGAACAACAATGGATACATATGTTTGAAACAAGGGAGCATATTTTTTTTCCCATAATTTTATTGAGAAATAGCAATGAGACAGTTTCAAATTAAATTGGTAGGACAGTTTCAATAATTAACAAATTGCATACTATCTTCCTAGTGGTTATTTGTTGTACAAGATGCAGACATGATATCCTATTTATAAAGACTATTAGAACAAATCACTATTTATTGAATTAAGAGAATGTAGCTATATATCTATCCTAACCATTTTGAATACACAGATACAAAATGGTCATCTGTAAGGGGAGAATATTTTAAGGGGGATGAATAGCGGTGTGTCTTGCTGTAGTAAATTTTTTAAATTATATTTTGTAATTATGTCCATTTTACCAATAAGAAAATAGGCTTGACATTAGTAAGGTTTTTTTTTTTTTTTTTTTTTGTTCCTCGAATGCCTTCAGGGCACTTTTGGCCAGCGGGAGAGTTGTGAGGTTGGAACTCCAGCAACCTGAGGCTGACAGCTTTGTGGAAGCAGCCACTTAAAGGACTGAGCTAGGGCCAGGCCCCCTAGGCTTGACATTAGTGTCGGTGCAGAATTTGTACTTTGTGTGTGTGTGTGTGTGTGTGTGTTAGGATTGGACACAAGGACTTTGTACTGAGCTACACAAGCACACATTTAATTTAATTTTTTAGGGAAGGTTTATTATTTGTGGTGCCAAAGACTGAACCCAGGGCTTCCAGCTTGCTAGGCAAGTGTTCTACTGCTGAGCCAAATCCCCAGCCCCTAATTTATTTTTTGAGGCACAGGGTCTAAGTTGCTCAGGCTGGGCTCCAACTTGTGATCCTCCTGTTTCAGCTTCCCAGAGTGCTGGGATTCCAGGTATGAGTCACCACTCACAGCTGGCTCTTCTGCTTTTATTGTATTGTAGTAGTTTGACTTGCAGACTTGCAGTTTGGTAATACATTTAGACTGAATTAAGCTATGATAAGTTGATAAATGACAGGTACCAGTTTGGGTTCACTATTGAGAATGGCTTATAAATTCTAATCTTCATTTAATGTGTAGTACCAGATGTATTGGTGCATGCCAACTCAGTAGACTTGGGGCAGAATTTGAGGCAAGCTTGGGCTACATAATGAGTTCAAGGACTCTGTCTCAAAAAAAAAGAAAAAGAAAAAAATTAACATGTAGAATCAGTGGGGAACAAGTTAATTGGATTTGTAGATGTCAGGAAAAGAAGTTTCAGCTA